GCGGCCCGGGGTGCTTCACACCCGAGCGCGCGACTTCGCCTGCCACACCCTAAACCCTAAACCCTAAACCCTAAACCCTAAACCCTGAACCCTAAACCCTGAACCCTAAACCCTAAACCCTAAAGCCGCTTGGGTGCCTCCAGTCGCCGGCCATCCGAAACCAAAGGCGACCCCAGGGCTGCAGGGCCACCGCCCATGACCTGCGGGCCAGCAGGTATCCTTGGAGGTTCAGGGGTAGTTATAAAGTAGGGTTTAGGGTTTAGGGTTTAGGGTTTAGGGCTGAGGGTTTAGGGTTTAGGGTTTACTGGGAGGTTCATGGGTAGTTATAAGTGGGGTTATAAGTCTCCTAAATTAAAATAGGGTTTAGGGTTTAGGGTTTACTTGGAGGTTCATGGGTAGTTATAAGGCTCCTTTAAGGGGTCATATTTGGAGGTCCATGGGCTTAGGGTTTAGGGGTTTAGGGTTTAGGGTTTAGGGGTTTAGGGTTAAGGGTCCTTTGTAACATTCTACTACTTGGAGGTCCATGGGTAGTTCTAAGGCTCCTTTAAGGGGTCATATTTGGAGGTCCATGGGTTTAGGGTTTAGGGTTTAGGGGTTTAGGTTTAAGGGTCCTTTGTAACATTCTACTACTTGGAGGTCCATGGGTAGTTATAAGGCTCCTTTAAGAGGGTTCTCAATAAGGGGTCTATAAGGGGTCATATTTGGAGGTACATGGGAGTTTATAAGTGGGGTTTATGGGGTTCCTTTAAGGGTTCCTTTAAAGGGTTCTATAGGGTTTAGGGTTTGTAACATCAGGGGTCTATAAGGAGACATACTTGGAGGTTCATGGGTAGCTATAAGTGGGGTTATAAGTCTCCTAATACAGGGTTTAGGGTTTAGGGTTTGGGGTTTGGGGTTTAGGGTTTACTTGGAGGTTCATGGGTAGTTATAAGGCTCCTTTAAGGGATCTGTAAGGGGGTCCTATAAAGGGGTCATATTTGGAGGTTCATCGGGAGTTTATAAGTGTGGTTTATGGGGTTCTTTAAGAGCTCCTTTAAAGGGTTCTATAGGGTTTAGGGTTTGTAACATAAGGGGTCTATAAGGAGACATACTTGGAGGTTCATGGGTAGTTATAAGTGGGGCTATAAGTCCCCTAATATGGGGCTATAAATTTAGGGTTTAGGGGTCTAGGGTTTAGGGTTAAGGGTCCTTTGTAACATTCTACTACTTGGAGTTTCATGGGTAGTTATAAGGCTCCTTAAAGGGATCTATAAGAGGGTTCTCCATAAGGGGTCCTGTAAAGGGTCTATAAGGGGTCATACTTGGAGGTTCATGGGTGGGTAGTTAAAAGTAGGGTTATAGTTAGGGTAATTATGATTATAACCCCTATTAGGGGACTTATGACCCCACTTATAACTACCCATGAACCTCCAAGTAATGGAGCTTGGGGCGCGGGTTCAGGAGTTTCGAGATGGCTGTCAAGGATACAATAGAGGCTACTATCAGTGTACAAACTTTCTTCCAACCATTGTGATAGGGGTTACTATAAGGGTTTCTGTTGGGGTTAGGCTGTAGCGCTTTGGGGTTGAGGGTTTGGGGTTGAGGTTTCCGGACTGAGGGTTTACGAGTTGAGTCTTTGGGTTCGTAAGAAATTGTAGTGAACGCATTGAAAGCCAGTCTTTGTAGTGCTTGGTAGAAGTGATAAGGTTCTTGTTTTGATTTAGGCTATGGTCGCAGATTACTTACCACGGATGCCCATCATGGTAGCTTCTCCTACACTCCTTGACAAGCAGCGTCTGCGATTGCTATGTAATGTAACCCCAAAACCCTAAACCCTAAACCCTAAACCCTAAACCGTTATAGTAGCAGCCCAACAGTTGGAAACCCGATAGCCTCAATCCTTAAGAGTAATGTATAAGGCATCCCAGCACTATTTGTCCTTAATCCGGTTTCCAACTTTTTGGGGGTTTACTGT